GAGATGAAGGGCGGAGAGGGTGGATCATTGCGATTAGGTCTTGGATTTTTCCGTGGCATAATTCTGCCAATAATTAACAAAAACCTTGGTAAGTCTTTAACAATAGGGGTGAGTCGGGTGTTAATTGAGCTACATTATCAGTATTATGTCCCAACTTCATGGTATTTGCAAGAAATTTATAAATAAAGTCTACACAAATAACTTATGAATTTAGTAATAGTGACTCAACCGAACACTTGTGTTCTACTTTGTGCTTTATCCACTCCTAAAATTTCACTCGACGTACGCCAGTTACATGTAATTAAGTTCTGATAAACCGTTGAACATAATGAGTCTGTCCCAAGTCCACAACCAAACAAGGAACATGTCCTAAGGCGAACCCACCATTTCTAAGTCGATCGCCCCTTAAGAATTTTCGAGTCATCATTTGCAATTTGTTTGTATCATCAAGTTATGAGTTCCCATGCCAAATATCCAACAAAATAAAATGCAAGTCAATTTCATTGATATAAGTTTAGTACATGTTGCTTAAGAAAATTTGACCTCATAGGAGGTCTACATTACATCAATGCAGAAGAATTTTTTGACAGCATAACAACCCCTTGAATAGTGTAATCACTTAGACGCAGGGTCGAACCTACTTGCAAGAAAGAGTAGCACTAACGCATATTCGTAAACCTAGTTTATAACAAAAAGTGAGTAATGTAAGCACTACTCGTGGCAGGTGGCATCCGGTGGTCCATGCAAGGAGGCTATGAGTGCCCGCATTGCTCTGATTTCCTCCCTATCCTCGGCTGCCCAACTCTCCATTGTCGTCAGTCGTCTCTCCATCGCAGCCTGACATTCTTGGTACTCTCAAACTTCACTCCGAGTGAGGGTAGCTTCCCGTTGCAGGACCTCGGTGCGATTCCTGGTGTGGTCGTGATCCTGGTCCAGGCGCCGAAAGCGGCTGCTGTGACTTCCGTTGTCGCACCCACCTCCAAAATCTGGTGGGCGGATGCCCGGATCTGCTGATCGTGTCGAGCGATGCGGTAAATAATGACAGGGAGGGACCTGTCGACCGAGCCTCCCCTGTCGAGGTTGTAGAAACCTCTGTTGTTGCTGTACGGGAAGGTTTGGCCTTGTTCCTGGCTCCACAATCCCAAGCTCGTTCCCCATTGGGGAGTCGGTCCTGGATTGTCCCGTGCAGGAGCATGTGCAGGGGGAGGGTCATATACTTCGGGACCCTCCTCTTCGTCTTCCTCCATTTCTTCTTCTTCTACTTCGTCCTCCTCTTCTTCTTCCTCCGGGTCCTCTTTAGGGTCTTCTTCAGGATCCTCCTCGATCATCTCCCCGGATTCTACCTAGAGCCACCCAATGTTTCCCTCATTAGGAAAGTACGAGTCTCCAGATAGATGGAATCCAGCCATGCTGTCTGTACGAGAATAGGGGTGTAAGAGGCTCGTAGTAAAAAAAAATCATACTCTTAGTAACATAAAATACTCCTATAGTATTTTAAATATTTGTTTGTTTCTAATTGTGGTTCTTGTATGAGGGTTGGTAGGTTAATGGACTGGTTGCCACTACAACTATCCCCCGACATATGCTAGTCACTTCTCGGATGAATATAGTTGATCAGGATATATTCCTCCTAGACTTGATTACATACCCTGATGCATAATGTTAGTGTACAACTCATCCATTTTTATATTACTTTTCGTGATTTATCCTAGACGTGCCACTATACCGGCATGCATGTACGTGCTTATACTTTTTATAAAGACTATTTCATTTCCAAAAGTATAGTTATTTGAAAAATATTTAATCAGAGACTTTTAGTCCCAATGCATTTATAGTTTGTATATCTTACGTGGTTTGATATACTAAGTTCACTATAAACAATGCTCTCATGCCAATCTGTCACACCCCCAAACCAACAATGGCGGAAATATCCGGGGTTGGACGACTTCATGTATAGTATCACAACAACGAGTATCATAGTGCTCAAAGTACAAACAACCAACATAAATATAATTGAAAAGGTTACATCATAGTATAAGTTTACATGTTTCTAAATCAAGTACATTATGTTGACAAACATACAATGTTTGACGCCTTAACGTTCCATCCTCAAAAGTAACTGATTACCTGTTTTACTAATTCCCTGAGAATACAAGTAGTTTTGAAAAAGTGTCAAAAATTAATTTGGTGAGTTCATAAGCTTTTGAATGAAATGTTGAAATCCTTTCTTGTAAAAGTAATTTTTGTTGTAGAAAAAATCCAATATTTTCCCTTTTTATAATGTATTGTTGTCTTAAATGCCAAGACTAATAATGTACTAGTACTTTTCCATATAAAATTGTAAATTATGCAAGTTTAAACCGACATAAACTTGTTAGTTTAAATGGAAATCCCGTAAATCTTATATTTTGTTAATACCCCATCTGAGTTATTATAATCATACTATAACTTAGTCGGCCTTGTATACGACGTCCTTCAGACGTCAGAATATTAATGACATTTGTTACCCCAGACCTGTCGGTCTAGCTGTTGCATGCAGATAAGGTGTGGGTTTGTCAGACCCAATATATATCTATACACAACTATCACGATCTCCCTACAAGATATTTTGCTTATAATTACAGGACTTTTGTTGCGCTACTTTAGAAGTAACGTGAAGCGAATGTCTCACAAATTTATTCATCAACAGATTTACGTAGTGTGAAAATGAAAACCCGTTTTTGTAGAAATGTATTCTTTCTTAATGTATATGCAACATAAACTATACCAATTATAGTTTATTCAAATGTTTGTAATGTGTAGTATTCATTTTCTTTGTAAGTAGAATATATAGCAAAACAATACTATGTTTATCGTGCCTCATAATGCTTTAATTGTAATAAAAAGGAGTTCTTACAATTTAGTGAACATTTTTCTGTAATATAATTATATCCCAACAGAAAACACATGAAAAATATGAAGCCGTCCAAGATTTACACTTTGCTCAACATGTGATAAAGTATTAATAAAATTGTAATCTGTAAGTTTGTTTTTACCATTTCTGCACTAATTTAGAAAAATCACAGAAAAATTATACGAGATCAAAAACTAGATCCATAAGCTTTGAGAGTTTATAAAATGTGTCTATATTGTTCAAAAAATTTATTATGGTTTTTAGAAGCCCCTAACTTGTGTGAAAATGTTCATATTCACAGACAGGTCTGAATTCGTAGCTACAGTGATAGGCTGTTTTGTAAAAATCACCATAAATTGTATAAAAATCGTATGGACATGTGCAAGTATTCATTTTAAAGGTATAAACCTGAAATATTTTCACTTAATATAGTTTTGAAAACTAAAAAGTTTAAGTTGCCTAAAACAGTTCGTGAATGAACATTAACTTTTCTGTTGAAAGCTGATGTTTGAGTTTAGTTACGTTGTTGGTGTTTTAACTTGTATTCTCTCCCTAAAACTTGAAGAAGACATGAAAATGTGGGGGTATGAACTCACCTTGAGTGATTTTAGTATATGGATGATGAAGAAAAGGAGTTTCCAAGTCAAAAACACTTAGGACTTACTTGAGGATTCGAAGATCTAGTAGCAAACATGGTGATACTTGTGTAAGGAATCTATGATTTGAGTGAAAGGATGAAAGATAATCAAATGTAGGATGAAGTTACTTACCAAACTTGGAGGGAATGGCTCAAGAATATCCTTCAAGTTCGAGTTTTTTTAGAGAGAGAAAGTAAGAGAGAGGGTGAGGGAGAAATGGGTTTGATCCTTGATGAAAGTGTGTGGAATGTGGAAGATGAAGTAAAGATTTTAGCCTTGATCACCCTCATGTGCTGGAGAAAGAGGGTGAAAGGACAAATGATTGACTGAGTAGTGATGAATAGTGACTGGGCATGGCCATGAAGTGGGTGTGGGGGATTGCTTGTGTCATAACTTAATGGTAAAGTCAACACTCCACCTCAATATCTTACCCACTAGATTTTATTATTAAATAAAGATTTCCCTAAAAATGTGTTTAAATTGTGAATATTTAGGGTCTTATATGTCAAAATATGAGTTTGCGTGAAAATCCCACGTTAAAATAATGAAAAACGGGCTTAAAATGCGAAAGTGGTCGAAAACCGGGTAAAAGTTGCGAATCTGCAAAAATCCAGATCAAGGACCGAGCTTCGGTCCTTTAGAAGTTGAGGAACGAAAGTGGGGAGGAGGAACCGAAGGTGAGGCTCTCATGCGAACTCGGGAAGGAAGCAAGGCTCAGATCTGAAAGTAGGAAGGAAGCGAAATGGATCGAGGCTCAGTCCTGAAGGTAGTTTCGGCCTTGGCAGGTTCGGTCCCTATGGCTCGGTTCTTAACCTAGTTTCAGTTCCTATAGGGGGCTTCAGTTCTAATTAGGGTTTCGTTCCTTAAGGATTTTTTTTCAAGTTTTCTTCCCGTTTTGAGTGATTTTTGGCCAAGTTATGGGTCGGGATGACCCGGATGACTATAAAAAGTTGAGGGAGATTATGAGAGAGATTTGGGAGATAGAGAGAGAGAGAGATTGATAAAGAGATATTGAGAGAGACTTTGTTTGCGACCTTTTTGGATGTTTAGCTTCGCAACGCAAGGTTTTTACACCCCGTTAAGCTTCGTTATGATGGTTACATGCCCCCGAGGGGTATGGAATAATGTTTTATCGATTAGTTTCATCACTTACCCCAATTAGGGTTTAGAATTTATGAACGAATGAACTTTACAAGTGATAACTTCTTATTAAAATAGTGAGTTGTACAATAGTAACATAATGTAAACCTTAATATACAAGGGTTAGATGAGTTGACCAGTTTGACCTATTGATTTTATTTGACTTTGACTAATCGAAATTTGACGATTGTCACATGATGGCAATGGTTTGTCCTTAATAAATTCCCTTTTCTTATTATACTCAGGGGATATCGACAAGGCTAAAGCAACATTATTTATTATAACAGGTTGTATGCTTGTTTGTAGCATGCCATTAGGTTGGTTATCAGTTAGGGGGTTTCATATTCCTCAATCACCTCTAATTGCTCAATAATAACTTTTCTTACACGTTTAGGAGCCATAAAGTAAGTAAGCAAGTTATTCATACCATGTTCAGTGTAAACCCTTATTAGTTTATGATCATTCACATACTGGACAAGATTGAGGGCATCATCATCGTTTCCTAGGGCACGTAATCCAAAATGCATGTCTCCCTTTGGCACTCGAAAATGATAGTAGATAACTGGAGGAACTGAGTATCTTAACCCTTTCATAATCACATCCATCTCGTGAATAGAAAACTCTTCTATATCCACCATATCAATATACATCACACTACCCTCAATGTAGTTGACATCTGGAAACTTTGTGAATTCGCCTCCATGATGTAGCTTGATGGTAAACAGTGTAACATGTCATCTTCAACACAAGAGCAAAAAACAAGCTTCAGAAGGGATGATTTATTGTAAGCAAATCAAATAAATGATCAAAAAACAAAATTACATACCATAAACCATCCTTGGGTCGAATGACGTGCTTGACAACCTTAACTGCCACATTGGTATATGCATTCACTATGAAAGTCGCTTGATCGAAGCTAACAACCTTGGTAATCAGATTAGGGTTCTTGATCCTTAGTCAATGAGGAGAGAAATTGAATTGTCTCACAGTTTTTAAGGACCACAAATGCGAATTAGGCTCAATAATATCCGTATGGTGATAATTACATACATACTCTCTTTTATTAATGTTAAATCAGGGGAATAAATAGGGAATGACCAAAATACCCCAATTTGACAAGTCGAACCTATATTAACAGAAGGAAATAGACTGAGGCTAACACTTTGGACCAAAGACGCAACAAAATGAAAACATTGGAGGTATGATGCTAATTCAAACTTTTTTGAACGAAAATGACAATTTTGAGAAAACCACGGGACCATTTTTACAGTTTTGTCAAAACAAAATTTTGGATAAAAAAGGTATAAATTGACTCATTAAAAAAAGAAAAAGGAAAAGGAAAAGAAAAAGATATCATGCCTTTTGACCCTAATTTCCCTATTCTGCAACCAGACTCCCCAATTCTGTGTCTTTCACTCTTAACTCTTGCCAATTCCCATCCCAAACCATTCCTTCCTTCACTGTAAACGCTACCATTGCAATCGTAACTCTCATCAAATGGTTTCTGAAAAGATCGAACCTCTAGGTTTTGTTGTTGATAAGTTCAAAGGTTTCACAAAATCCACACAAGACTTTGCCAATGGCGTCCTTCACAACATTGGATTATCCAGGCGTCGCCATCCGGTACTCAATTCAATTGCAGATTGCTTGCTTTTTTTCTTAATCAATCTCACGAGACTCATGTTATGTTCAATCCTCATCGTGTTATCTCGTCATATCTTAATTGCGCATATTCCGCTAGAGTAGTACCATGAATCGGCCCCTTTAATTCTAAAACTAGGTTAACTTTTCTCATTCGTGATTTGAAACTTAGTTAACATCAGAATTAAAGTAAATCATGTAACCAGATTGCTTGAAATCTTGCTTCATAACAATAACTTCAAATTTCCAAAAATTCTATATACGATTGGGAGTTAAACCTCTTCAGTAACATGTTCTTCTTCTTCTTTTTTTTTTTAAATCAGATTGAGATCTTGAAGCGGTTGCAAAGGGACGCGTTTTCAGATATCATGAAGCTCAGGGATCGACAGGACAAAGTGGAGCGATTACTTTCCTTCAAGTCATCAAAGGTAAGTCCACTAGCTGAAGCCAGCACTCTTGTAAAAGGAGAAATAGAAATATTAGGTCTTCTATTGATGATCGATAGAATTCATGAAGATAATCAAGATGCCATTAGCAGAACTGGAATCAAAACTGGTATAACTTCGAAGTTTACATTCGAAACCACCATTGGAGAAAAGGATACACTAAAAGCAGAGTTTGTAGCAAGTGAAAGAGGGCAAGTTAATGGCTCAAATACTCCACTTTCATTAGCAAAGGTGGTTTTCAATGCAAAGATCAATGAGTGGTGTTCTTTAACTAGTGTATTGTTGGGAGGTAGATGTAGTGATTTGCAGAAACATGGAGTTACTAGTGGACCTCCATTGTTAAATCAAGAGCTTGGTAGCGGTATAAGTTTAACAATGACAAAATCTAATGTTATTGGTACGTTAGCTCAATTTGTAGGGACTACCCATTGGTTAACCACTTTCGGGCAGGTTGTGTATCAACTTTCGGGCAGCACAAAGGTGTTACTTTTGGGTATAAACCAAGTGCCCAAATTTTTAGGTCAGGATGGTTCTCTTGGTCCAATGTGTCTACCTATTGGTGTTTTTAGACGTGATGGAATTCGTAGGGAGGGGGGAAGATGTGTTGCTCTGGTACTTGAGTCAGAACTTGACTCAAGTACCAGAGTGGGAGGGTGGGTTGAAATGAATAGATTAGATACTGACACTACTGACACTGACATTGTACCGTGTGGTACAAGATGGGGTGTGTCAGTATCTGATCTACCTGACGATGATTTTGGGTGGGGGTTGAGGGTGGGTGGGTCTGCTTTTGAGCGGTTTGAGGTTGAAGTGTTTTCGAAGATGAATTTGGGAGAGAAATATTTGTTGCAGCCATCGCTTGTGTTTGTGGTAGATGGTTCGACTAAGTTTCCAGCATTGATGATGAAGTCTAGTTGGTCTTTTTGATTATAGTTCAGACTCTATGTAAGTTGCATTCATTGTTGAAAATGACATTTTTTTAGGTATATTATACATTTTGTCCATGTGGTTAGGTGGTGTTTATAGATATCTATGATCCTTTTTTTTTTTTTTTTTGGTTTTGTATCATTTTTAGTAACTAACATTATTCTAGACAAACAATTAATCCATCCTAATTGGTGACAAAGTATCGAATCTGAAAAAGAAACCATAAGCAATGTGTAACATTTGACATAATGATTTTTATATAGAAAAATAATAAATAATGATTTTTACCTATAAAAATTTTCACACGAAAATGTTTAAATATAATAGCGTGATTTTGGTAATCACGTTCATAGTAGCCCAATCGTGACATTTAAAAAAACGTGGTAGATGAATATTCATTGTTATTGTGATTCGGGCCTGATAAGGAATTAGGCGTAAACTTTTCACACATGAGCTTGGTTGTATGCTATTTATTTTTTCTTTAACAACCGAATATTTCGTTAAAGCGCACACTAGCAATGAGCCAATGGAAAAGAAAACAACAATTTCATAGGTTTTTAAGCCAAGTACACCAATTACTGATACATTTTTTAAATCTTTTCTCGCCCAATTTGAAATCAAACACCACCTAGTTTCTATATTAGTAAGGTGATGTTTGGTTTTTTGTCTGTTGATATTTTGGTTTCTTTTGTCAACGATGCATAGACCACACACATTAGATATTTTTTGTTTTAAAAAAAAAAGAAATTCCTTCAAACTACAAAACCTCTGTATGGCGTAATACTTGATTTGCAAATTCAAACATTTTCGGTTTTTATTTTTTTCAAGTAATTTCTTTATAGAAATATGGTATAGTTTATTTTTATTTTTCAACTTTCATATTTTTTTTAGCTTTGATTTACGGATTAGATACATTTTTTTTTTTAGTTTCCATAATTTTTTATAAATTGATTTTTTTTAAAAAAAAAAACCTTTAATTTTTTTAATTTTTATCGTATCTTTTAATAATATTTTCAGTTTCTGTTGCATCTTTTTAACATGTGTAATTCTTCTATGAAATTTGTAGATATTGTTTGCAATATTTTCTTAATTCTTTTTATATTTTTCCTTTTTATGTTTTTTAAAATTAAGTTTTTTTAAGAATAAAACTGATAGCTTATTTTACTTTTTTTTTTTTATGAATTATATATATATATATATATATATATATATATATATATATATATATATATATATATATATATATAATGCATTTTTTAGTATTTTTTCAATGTTTGTTTTAAGACTATAATTATTAAAATTTTGGTGTTGTCAGTTTATAAAATTAGTTTATTTAAATTTCAGTTTATGCAACAGTCTGCAGATGTTAAAAAACAAACATGTTTCTTATTACGGACTGTAGTCGTTTGGTCCAACTCTTTTGCTGGGTTGCGTAGGTGGTCCACAAACTTCATGAATTTCTGCTTCGAAAAAACAAACAAAACATTAATCTTTGTAGACCGTTTTGTTTTATAAAAGATCGCAGACCAAAAAATGTTTGCGTGCCCGTGTCCCTTCTTGGCGCAGATGTGGATTATAGTCTTTTAATATCTTTAGACATCTTCTACACTAAAAGCGCATATATATTTGTTTTGTTTGTTGTTTTATTTAATTAAAATTTAGATTTATTTTAATTTTATCTCTGATAAACAATTTAGAAAAAAAAAAGTTATAATATTTAAAGAAAAAAAGGTTCAACGAGACAATCATAACATTTGTGAAAAATTTACAAATAAAAATTAATTAAAATAATTATCATTGAAGTGTATATAGGTATGAAACTAATCTTAATATTGTCTAATATTATTTTGTTAAATTAAATATATATATATATATATATATATATATATATATATATATATATATATATATATATATATATATATATATTAATGCAACATTGTCAATTTCTTTGGAAACATATTTAATGGTTAGATTTTAGTTGATTTAACCGAATAAAAATAAAATATAGCTTTCGAAAACTTTCATTTTATAATCAAAGTTATTTTTGTTAATTTTATGCGTTAAATTTTTTAATCCCTAATTGCAATCTTTATATATAATTTTGAACCAAATCTTATTGGTATTTACCAAATATATAGATTAATTCATACTATTTTTTTTATACAATAATACATAAATTTGATCTAGATTTATTTACTATTTATCATAAAGTCATAAGAAGTATTGAAAAACTATTTTAAGTTTATAAAATCATTTTATTTGTATTTTAGTTCATTTTAGCAGTCTACAAACGTTAAAAAAAATCTTTCAAATTGCAGATATTTGATCAGCATCTTCTATTGCAAAGGTCTGCAAATATGGTCTGCGGAATATAAACATTTTGCCATAGAAAAAATAAACAACACCTAAATCAATCAAAGAATCGTAAGAATTACTACCTCCAATGTTTTCTTCGTGCTAGTGGATGCATGCAAGTCATTAACCCTAGACAATCATTCCCGAATAAACGTGGACACTAATAAACCAATTTGACACCACCTCCCAACTTTGACCATAAATCATAAGCCATGGAAGTCGTGATAAAATGTGACTCATTGTTTCCATACATCAGACAATCAATAGAATGAAACTCCAATCCCTGTTTAGACAAATTAAATCTAGTTGGGGTTCTAACAAAGCTCTCCAAACAAAATGATTAGAGTTTAGTTACAGAAGACCATTTATTTTTATTTTTTAGAAAATTGAAATGAGTTTTTCTTTCTCGCTTTTAATAGAAATTAACAAAAAGAAAACACGTTTTGTTAAAATTGATTTTATGTTTTCATTGTTTATTTTCAAAAATGAAAATTTGTTTGGATGTGTACTTTTTTTTTTGTTTTTATTTTCTAGTTCTTTCTTATTCTAAATAATACAGTACAAAACACACGCACCTACATCTCATTTATACTCGTACACACATCACCTCGAACAACTTAACCGAACCTACCCAACCACAATCTCCACCAACACCCAGTCGCATAGTGTGAGCGAGGATGTGCGTGTATGTTTTAGATGGTGATGAGTATATGGCATCAGTGTAAGGTGTTAGTGAGGATGAATATGTAGGTGTTTTAAAAAAAATATCAAAGTTAAAAAATTATGAAAAACAAAAGAATAAACTGCACAAATTGTCCCTGTGGTTTGCTCAAAATTGCTACTTTGATCCAAAAAAGTTTGGAGTAGCACCAGAGGTCCAAAGTTTTCATTTTGTTGCTTGTTTGGTCTAATATGTTTTGATTTTTTTTTTCAAAATGACGGATTTGTCCCTGTTAATATGATTTTTTTTCTTATTTGTTTTTCTGATTTTACATTTAAAAAAATAAAAATAAAATAAAAATAAGTCTCACACACACTCTCTATCATTTGTTTTTATTTGTTTTTTTGATTTTAGATTTACAAAATTAAAAAATAAAAATAAGTCACACACACTCTCTCTCTCATTTGTTTTTATTTGTTTTTTTGATTTTAGATTTACAAAAATAAAAAATAAAAATAAAAATAAAATCTCTCTCTCTCTCTCTCTTATTTGTCTTTTTTATTTTGAAATCAGATTTATAAAAAAAATAAATATAAAAATAAAAATAAATCTCTCTCTCTCTCTCTCTCTCTCTCTCTCTCTCTCTCTCTCTCTCTCCACTTATCAATTTCACCAACCTTCAACCTCAGCTAAACCTTTCATCATTTATCACCACCTAACGTCACCTTTCTCTATCTCCATTCCGACCATTATGACCCCCGTCGTTGTTATAGGAACGATAGCGAGTCAATTCAAAGACCATCACCCGTTGTTGGAAGTTCTGGGCGGAGCTCGTGACTCCTTCTGTCACCCTCGATTGGTTCTCCGGCGATGCCCGCAACTTGCTGGAAACCTCCCCTATCCTACTCTTACTTGTCGGTCTACATTTCCCCCTCTTGAAATTTAACTTTCAAACCCACCATTCATTGTGTACTAATTTTGCAGGTTGGTTTGTCGGGAGGAAGCCAAGTTGCATATGTACGACATATGCTGGTGAGAACAAGAAATAAAGGGTGGCTCGTAGTGGTATTCAACCGTGGCTGTGCTTATAGCCCTCTTACCACACCTCATACATGTGTATGTTTAGGTTTAACAGTTTTAAGAACTTGATCTATTGAAAAACGGTTATCTTCAAGTAGTTTTAGAGATACAAGCATCTGAAACCCTAAAACCATACGATGATTGTCTCTATCTCCTATCTCTCAGAAAGTCGACAGGTGACCTCGCCGGATCTTGGTCTGATGTCGTCTCCTTCAGCTCCAATGAATGCTCTGGCAAGTGAGATTGAATGTGGGTTTCAAGTTCAAGACATTGTTGTGGATTTTGGGCAGGATGATTGTCATGGATTTGTGTTGACACAGTAAACACACACAGATTTATTTTTATTTTTTATTTTTTTCAATTTAAAATTAAAAAAACAAATAAGAAGAAAATCATATTCACAGGAACAAATCCATCAATTCGAAAAAAATCAAAACAAATGACCAAACAAGCAATAAAATGAAAACTTTAGATGTCTGGTGGTAGTGCGAACATTTTTAGACAAAAATAACAATTTTAAACAACTATGCAGTTTAGTCGAAACAAAATTTAGTGATTTTTAAAAGTAGTACAAGCCGAACCCATCAATAATGCTTCTTTACGTGGTCCCACCAAATGAAAGCATATCCTTAGAGCTTGATTGATGACTACTACCAAAATTTTGAGGTTGTTAGGGGACATTATGTTTGTCAAACACATGTTCAAAAGTGCTAATACACTCAATAAAATCCCAAAAGTGTCATCAAACCATTAAATTATATCTACAAAACACTAAAACAAACCCAAATTCATCGCATAACCATTCTTAACAAAAGGTAGATACGATCAGTCAAACAAGTTAAAGTACCATAAAATGTATGCACCCTTTATGGGATCATGCTTAAAAACCTAAGACCTTAAA